AGAATTATTCATTCTATTCAAGAATCGTTGTTTGACAATGAATACTTCGATGTTGGTATTTAGGCCAGGTTTGCCACCGACTATACATATATAGATTATATACAAAACGCAAAGGTATTTATAGGACTTCACATGACAGTAAGGTCCTAGAAGCTGTCCAAAAGTATGCTAAAATCGGTAGTTGTCTGATCAGGGTAAGAATAGAACAATGAAACATCGTCGAGATTTCTATTAAAAGTTTCCTAGGAGCATCAACTGGTCGAAGTAATTTCAGAATTCTTCGTGACTTTCCCAAGGAATGATTGAAGGCATCTGACATAACTGAATTTCAGTGATTATACAGATGATGTAAATCAGCTACAGGAAATTTTTATATTCCCGTGTCCAAATAGCCACTTCTGTTTTAATAGTATCTTATTAACAAACACGTAAACAATTATTAAGAATTAACGAGTAAATCAAACGAATCATTTCACAAGATCTATGAAAACATTGTACGTCCTACGGTGTTGATAAATGACGAAAAAAAGACTTAATTCTGATAGACTTTATAACATGATTTTTATTTTATCTTGGGATTTAGTTCGATTTGGTCTATAGTATCTAAGAATACAAACGGTGAAGAAAATTTTAACGAGGACAGACTCTATTGAGAACTCGAAAAGACGGTAACTGATACATACTTCTTCAACAATAATCTCCAAAGATGTTAGAAGTGCAGAAGAAAATTTGATGGTTACGAAGACAGAATCAAAGTGAAACAAGTCTCTGTGTAGTCAATAAACATGACCATGATCCAGAAAATTTCACAAACATCATGCGGAGAAACGATTTGAGAAAATTGTGCCTATAATTATCGTTGCAAGAAAGAACTAACACATATTCACAAGAAACCAGACAACCTGGAATTCTCTCAGCAAATGGTACCAAAGTCAAGCTGTAGAATTCAATCTGCAAAATTCAATTACTGAACAGATCTTAATTATTACTTCAGTCACTGTATATATCTAAGTGTTGAATGAATGAAACAATATAAGACAGTTATAAAGAAATTCTGAACATCCTTTTATTTAAAAAAATATTTTCTCGTTGTTTCTATTGGAGACTGTTATTAATTTATCTCCGTTGTTATATGTTGTGCCTTCAGTGGATTGTTTTTTATCTTATCCTTCAATCAGAACTATGACTGGCAGTAAAATCCAAAACCCTTGATCTGATACGAACAGTGTGGCTTAGTGATGACATACTTGTTTACAGAATAATTATAATAAACATGATTTAAATTCGCTTAATACGTAAATGATAATTGGATTGTAAAGTTGATCGAACCTTTTTCACAATTCATATAAATTTTCCTGTTACGCTAAAGTTTAGTTAGTACTACTTTGGTGCACCTTTCAAAAGCACAATATTTACTGAAAGCCATTACTTCATCTAGCTCAACTTCTGAAAGTAACGACTTAAATCTTAATGATTTACTGATGACGGCCAGCAACAAATTTTCTGATTTTTTTTCTAATACTATGGAGTGGATGATTGGGGATGAATATGTATAGATGTAATGCTAATCGGTAACAAGTTGTTTGCGACTTAGTATTTTATCCATACTGTTCTAGTTTCACAAATCCTCTATTAACTACATCTTACTCATGATAAGTTACCATGTATTTATTGCGCAAGTAAACTAACTACAATACCGAAGTTTAGCACGGTGGAATAATTGAAATGAGAAATTTATGGTCTACTTGGATTGACTCAGAGACGAATGTCAGGCTTAACATTTATAAGAATCTTCTCTAATCTTTCTGTATTCCCCACTAAACCTAGATCATTTTATAGACACCCTCTTTTAAAATTCTTCTCGATCCCCATTAGATTCTAATGCTTTCATTTTCTCAAGGTATTAACTTAATTTAAATCTTAAGAAATTCGACAATATTCACTATCCATATTTACCAATAAAAACTCGACACTAATTTATCGACAATTATATCAAAACCTACCACCTGGCCTTATCATAATCCAAGCTCTAATATTAATCGCATGGAAGCCTATATTCAATGACTATTTGAATGATTGTAATTCATAATTATTTATAAGTGAATTCATGTTCCGGTTTCATGGAGATTATGATTGACTCCAGTTTAAGGTTAGATAGAATCACGATATCGATCAGATCGACTAGTTCTCCATATTCATAGCATGAAGAAATACCCTGAATTGTTCAGTTAAGCAGATTTAGCTATCTTGATTATTCTAAAACTGGTACCATCGAGAATCAAGATAGTATAGGACATTTTTGTCCAAGATTCGAATATATCTTTTCAGTGGTGTAAGAATTTTTTGAGTCTTACGAGAAGCAGAAGCATTTTATACTTCAAAGTTCATTATTAGAATCTGATGTATCATACATTTGCGACAAGATTCTTTACATCAGTTTCCATCGTAACAAATGATCTTTTTTTCAAAGTAATAATTTTAGGATCATTAAAGAACCGGGAAAAATGTATATGATCTGAAAGTTAGTGGGCAGCCAAATCAGAATGATGAGCAGTGACCAACTTTCTGGGACTCTAAGGTATAATTGAAATTTTCAATTTATATGGAATTAGAAAAGTTGGGAATTTCATTGGCGATAGGAAATAATCATAGCTTAGGTAGATCTTTAGATAACGCTGTGTTAAATATGGTTTAATTGCGAAGTTATCATGGTCTAACCAGATAAGTCACTTAATATCAAGTTTAAATAAATTGCATTAGTCGTGAGAATATAATGAATAATCAAGGAACATTGGGAAACAGATTAAATGAAAATCGTATGCTGCTGGAACCCGATTGATTTAAATTTACACTACTCCTTGAGCAGGCTGAAATTTTTGGGTTCAACCTTGTGTCGAATAGTACTGTACACTTTAGAGATCGCAAACTGACTGAACAGCGAAATAGTGCCGCAAGACATAATAGCTCATATAGAGATGTCAGTTCATGGAAAAAATGCTTCACAATGTTCAAAGAAGGTTTACAAAACGTGTTTACTGAAGCTTAGCAGTAAGGAAAGTTTGACTCCCTTTATAGGAGGGGGAACCCGATGCTTTAGTTGAAATCTGACAATAGATGACTGGATCAAGTATACTATAAATCAACAACTTCACACTTTAGTTCACAAATTGTTAACTCCATTTTTGTTCCCAAGTATTCCTCAGAAAAGTTCATAGGGGGTCGCTACCATATTTAGTTTGTTTCCAAAAGCTCAAGACAGTCTTAAATACCCTCGTTTTTTGTAAATAAACTAACCTTGGAGTAAAGTGCCCACCTCGCAGTTCGCGCCTTTCCTCATGTGTTTAAGTTTTCCTGTAAATTTGGTCTGGGGTTATCAGGAGTGGCTAGAAAATCGAACCCAGAGTTCGGTTATCAGTTTCCAACATTTTCTATACACATTTGGTGGTTTTGAAACTAGTCAGTTAACTTTTTGGTTCAGTGTAGTTCCATGTGACCAAATTGCAAAACGCGACCATCCCATGTCAATGGAACTTAAATAAATACTTAAGATTACTGAAAAATCAGAAACTTAGTTCACTTTCACTAGCCAAATTTTAAATTGTGGGTAGCTACACGCCAAATACTAATAATCGGTTGATATATGACAGTACTTTATTTCTTAAGAATTAATCAGCTTTGGATTCCCTTTTAGTTATGTTATTAGCTCACTTTGTTAGTTTAGAAAAAGGATTAACTTTCTAAAAAGAGATTGTTCTGAACAACTTTATTCAACAATTTATTGAGAATTGGCGTGTGAAAGGCTTAAGATATTGAAACATAGCCGACTAAGATCCTGATAAAACTACAAATGGACGAGTTATGCCGTACTGGTATCAACTATACGAGTCAAATTTTCATTCTTTTGGGAGAATTGATTGGTACGATTAACTGTGTTAGATTCCATTCGAGAATAAATCTCAATTTCTCCGCGTGTTTCGTCGGGATGAAACCCATATATAAGATGGTGTACTCAGGTTTAAGCCTTACTTTAGATGTGAGGGGTGGCGACCAATATCCAGCTGTCCAAATCGACATAGGTGTAGAGAAGTTCGGACCAGCGAATTATATGTTGAAAGAAGGATTTAATCATTAAGCCACTGTTTCTAACAGCCTACAAAATCCCCTAGTAAAGGTTATGGTTTCTTTGTAAGTTAAAAGGGGTAATTATTGAAACCGTATTAGTAAAACCAGTTTGAAGACTAATACAGAGGGGGATATACTGCCTATGTAATAACTTCCTCAACTTTATAATAAACCCGCAATCACACCGCATTTAAACTATTATCTAGACCAATCAATCAAAATATTTGATGCTAACAAAACAGGAACTTTACTAATACTCCTGTAGCGCAGAACAAAGGTTAATAGTCACCAACGCCGTTTTTACATTAACATTCATTTGATTGAAATGCAACGAATTCCGTTATCAATTCCCTACATTTTCTCCACACATTTGGTGGTTTTGGAATTAGTCAGTTAACTTTTTGGTACAATGTACTTCCATGTTAATGGAACTTAAATTTGTATCAGTCAGTACAGTAAAAAAGGAATGGGAATTATCAAAACGGAAAAGTATACACTGGAATTGACGTACGCCTTCCGTTCATTTACCATACATAAGAAATTTAGAAGAAACTTCTAAACTAACTAATTTATAACTGTGTAAATACTGTAACATCTTCATCTTTCAAAATTATTTAAACCCAATCATTACGTACGTTAAGTTCCTACATGTACTCAATCATTTCTATAAGAAGCTTGAAAACTATAACAGAGCTAACTATTGCACGATAAAGATTTACCAACACCATCGCAGCGATTAACATATTCATTACCTTTTATCCTTTGAAGAAACGACTACAATCGGATTCATATATCAAGTATAACATAAGATGAGGAAAAGTGTCAAAAAGCCAAATTGGTTGAAAGCACTTGTGAATAAAGATAAATAACAGCTAGTTACTGTTTAAAATTTTTTAATACAAATTTTTTTATTTACAAGTTGAATGAATGTAATACGGGAAGTTGTAGAGATATTGCAGATTTTGTGCTTGGAATTACTTGTTATAATCAAACATATGGTATTGAACACAGATATTATTATGAAACTTCATTTCAAATACTATTGAAACATCACGCATAGGTTAAAGACAAAAGCGGTTTATTCTACTAAAATTTCCAGAATAATCTTTCCTATTGGGAATATGAAAGACTATTACGCTTCAACATTGAAAAGAAATTGATAATACACACACAGGGACAGAGATCAATGATCATAGTCTAAACTATTATAAGGAGCAGCATCGCTGATCGCTAATATTGCGATGAAATGACTCGATATTCTCACAAATCAGAAAACTTTTATGGTAAGACGTTGTATTAGTTCAACAAAGATGAAGTGTAATATTCGCTTTATAATGTTCAATTATTGCTTAACTAATACAACGTCTTGTTATAAAATCTGTCTGATTTGATGGTGGCAAGGTTGAAGGTTGTGATGATGGAGTAGCTTCCTGATTCTGTAGCACGGAGAAAGATGTGGCCTGCTGTTGATGTTGAAGGATATGTTGTGGGTGAGGTTGGGCAGCGCAATTTCCAGGATTGTTTGTTGGAAATCCAGATATTATACACTGATTGCTACCAGGAGTGGGGATAGAGGGATCAATACAAGTTGAAGGCGGGGCAGTAGCCATATTTAGTGGGACACCGACAGGACCAGGGAGTGTAGATGTATCGAGATAATGTCTGAAAAATGGAAATGAAGTAGGTCAAGACAAAAAAATCTCACTGTGAGATGGTTTATAATGCACAAGAGATGTAAAACTGGCGCGTTTCTGATGAACACAAACATTTGAAAAAAGCGACTCTAGACGCTACATCAACCTAATTGAACCACTTGAGCTCTTTATACTCAAAATGATAACCAGTATATTTAAATTGTTTCAGCCAATTTAGATAATGACAACATCCTTCCAGATAGTAATATTTTACTAGTGTTCAAGGATATTATTGACTGCACGGTAATAGAATTCTTACACAGAAAATTAGTGAAGACAAAGCTGAGTATTAATAAAGAAAAGATTATTATTATTATGTATGTATGTACCACTTAAACTTAATTTAATGTGGTTATTTATTCACTTTGAAGAAGTGGCATACATTAAGTCACGAAAGGTCGGAAATACAATTTTTCTACTCATTAGGATTATGACAATGCTCAGTTTATTCAAAACCACCAAGTCCAGCATTGACATTGATATCCTTCATATAAAAGCAACTTAACAAATATTTACGAATTGATATAGTAAGCTAAGCAGTTGTGTGAAAGATTATGATCTCATTCAACTTGCTGAAACGGTTTAGAAGGAACGGGTCAATTGAAATTTATGTAATCCTGCTGAAAACTGTCAAAATAAATCACGCTAATCATGATAGCCAAATAGGTGGAAGGAATTGGTTGTATTCAATAAAATATATGACTGGGAAAAATACGAATAGAACAAATGAGCAATTTTAAACTCTAGGTGCCATACACATTAAACAAATGAATGAAGTTCTATATCGTATTGAACATGATCAATAAAAATGATTGATAGTACAATTGTAATATTATATGTGTATATTCAAGGCATTCAAGGGAATACTTACTTGAGTTGAGCTTTAGGCTTAAGATAATCATCGTTGCTAAGTTGAAAGACATCCGGTCGGAGATCTTTTCTATACGTACAACACTTTCGAATAAATTCCTAAAACAACAAAAAAATGAAACCAGTGAATTAACAAAAAAGGAAAAAAACTTGCAAGAATATTTTAAGCACAATTTATTAATGAGAAAATGTATCATGAGGCAACTTCAAATACTGGGTGTAAACTTTGATAAGAGATGTGGTAAATTTTAAACCGGTCATTTGTGATAATATTGCTTGCCTACGCACAGAATTATTTGGCGAAGTTGTATATCACTAGTGTACAACACGCCAGGTTAATGAGATAAAAAGTGTCTCGAATAATATTGTTACTCAATCTATCTATTACCAATAAAATATCAATGGATTTAGAAAAATAACCAAATCATAATCACTTAACTATAAGCTGTGCTTTGACTGTATTCCTGATGAAAAAAAGATGAATTGTTTTTTTGTGTACTGTATATGTTAGTCTACAGATTTAAGTTAAATCCCATGGATTGATAAATTTAACTTGGTTAACACTTATTTGAGAGATAAGGAACTCTGTTTAGTGGAGAATGAATGGTCATAGTATTTTTCTGATGGTCGCGAACAGCAGATATTGCAAGGAAATGTAGGCAGATCTATTCTAATGAATGGTAATAGGTCATAATCGGAAACATCTTGTAAGTTACCAACCGCATCAAGATTTGGTTATCTAATACACAGAAAACAAACAATGAAGTAAAAGACAAGGATGAATGACTTATGTGACGTACTACTAACGGAAAAGAAAGTGAGCTAAGCATGTGAATCCAACACGAGAAATTTTACAGTAATTGAGCAAAATAGGCTTACTTTTGCGCCATCGCTAACTTTTGTAGTGGAAGGGAATACAATGGATCGTGCATGAAGAATTGTATTTTCGTGCAAAATATCAGCTTGGGACATATTATGACCGAATGGCTACATGTTGGGAAAAAACAAACGAAAAATGTATTCATTGCTTATATATCAATGATACTACTTCGATATTAAAATTTAAAATAAAAAGTTGTTTTCTCATCATGGAATGGCATGAAATGAATAAACCAGAAATCATCTGACAAATGGTCTATTTCGGTTTGGGACTTAGCAATGCATCATATGGAAAATAACATAAGGAACTTTAATTTTCGTGACAAATACGACACATTAAACGATTATCAGAACTCAATTAGCTATGCTTTTCAACTTCGATCAACTAGCGACTTAGAGATGATTATTCCATGAAATCGCTGCTATAACTGTGTTATGTAGATATGACTGGTCACCAATTAAACAGTAGGACTGTAAGGATTCATTTCAAGATTTATCATTACTAGTAAATAAATGGCTACATTTAAATACGTGGTCTATGGGGATTTAACTCAATTTTAAAACTTTTCTGTTTAGCTATCTGGTCTTTCTTGGCCTTCAACTGTTTGCAACTGATCATTTCTTCAAGCTAGGTTATCCGATGAAAAGATAATGCTGTCACTAAAATTTTGTAGTTAGAAAAAAGGTAGGCAGTATAAATGTAAAATAACTAATTATTTTTTTAAGAACAGTAATAACTTGTTGAAAATGAGTGGTAAATTACAGAAAACTAACTTTTTTTCCAAACAAACACTGAAAGAAAATTACACCAACAGACCATATATCCACTTTTGAAGATATTTTTGGAGGTTCCCGTCCTGTCTCAAAACATTCCGGTGGTAAGTACCAATAAGTGCCTGCTCCTTGGGAGGTTAAATCCATTCCAGTCTCTGGATTGTATTTATCTTCTGTCATAAGTTTACTTAAACCGAAATCCGTGATTTTGATTTCACCAGCAACTTGGCCAGAACCAAGTAAAATATTACCTGTAATGAGTTAGTAAAGTAGTAAGTAAAATAACGCACAATAAAACTATTACGGAAATTCATCAATGTTTCGTTTTGCTTGAAAACATTTTGATGAAAAAGATACAAATAGCCAGTGAAGCGCAGAATGAAGCATTGTGACTTATTCTGTATTTGCATCTCATATAGATGATGTGTTAGTTTTAATACGTGTAACAAACACATAAATCTCACTTGTTTATGGAAAGAATGTTACACCGTCAACTCAGTGCTTAATACTTTATACATAAAAATGTTTTTCTGATGGAAAAAGTCCTTATTTTATTGGCTAGTTGACCCGTCTTTCGATAATAATTCATTCAGAATTAATCTGTATTGCTTTTTTAATCTTCCCATTAACGTTTAACGACTGTAAGTGATCAGTCTCTTTTGATAGATTTAGATACTGCTTGGACTGCCTGGACATTCACATTTAGTCACGAAAATTCCAGAGATAGATAATGGCTAGCAGTAGAATCCATATGTAAGAGATGGTAGTGAAATTAACTGCGCAATTATTTAGGAAATTAAAGTGCTTTTTAAGTCACAGCGTTTTAATATACATTACAGAACGGAAAAAATAATCATACGGTAAGTGCAAATTTACAACTGTACATACCTGGTTTCAAGTCATAATGAATCACAGGAGGTTTACGTTCATTTAAATATTTCAAAGCAGAAACCACTTGGCATATAATCGACTTGGCCTCGCGTTCCGGAATACTTTTGTTTTGTTTAAGAAAGAAATCTAAGTCATTACCTTCGCTGTATTCAAGTACAGTACAAAATCTACAGAACCAAAAATATACGAAAGAAGAGAGTCTAAGAATATATGATGATTTCGGGAATAAGCAAACTGAATGATATATTTGTATACTGAACGCGAAGTGAATGAAAATCATAAGGTAGTGATCAGAGGTAGTCATCAAGAAACCCTGAGCATAGGTTTTGTGACATATGGCACTCGTCAGCAAAGCGTATCTACAATCTTGGGGGAACTAATGCTACCTGGAAGATTTGACCCCGTGTCACCCAGCTTTACAGTCAAAGACGTTACCACCGAGCTGTTTGGGCCACAACTGATATGTAGGACTGAGATGTAACAACCATTTGATAGATCATTGGGTAATGACCAAGTTCATGCATCTCAAGTCCATCTTGGTAATCCGATTATATCAACCAATTTGTAGTGTACCACTAGTCTGCGTGACTCGAGGCCGTGTACATTATGTTGAAATGTAGCACGAAACCTATGTTCAGAGTTTCTTGACGACTACCTCCAACCATCACCTTGCATCTTAATATATTGCACAAGAAGTCATCACTTAGACTAGTGGCCATATCGCAACTTGATCGATAGGATCCGATCAGTACTAAGAATTTGAGATATATGATCAATCAATTGAGAATGGAAATTATGTACATGACCCGAACTCTGAGACTACTAGTATTAATATTTCTCATAGAACCTCAGTTCTTAAGTAAAACACAGAGAGTGGATAATATTAGTTAAAACCACAGTTAAAAGTTGGTCATTTAAATAAACCAGTGTGAAATTCTTATTTTATATTACTTATTAGTAATCATGGTTCATCCCCTTTTCTGGTCTATCATTGGTTAAATTAATTATTGACAAAAAGGCTATGCTCTTTTGGTTGTAACGTGTTTTACATGTAACTACGACAATCATCTGACTTAAATAGACCCCGGATGTGTTATTCAAGTGAATCTGACACAGGATATATTTACACGAAATCATAACAAGACCTTCCTGAAGCAGCAGTTGTGATGTATTAATGGTGAATAAAGTATGTGGAGATAAACGTTTGTACAGAGCATATTTAGGTTACAAATTGGCTAGAATATGATACAAAGACAGTTACCATCAATTTAAGTGTAGGATGCTGGTCCGAACAAAAGCAGGTTGTAATATGAATAAGAAAGTGCAAATCAGTAGACACCGCGGATCTATACTATCAATAACTGGAGGTATGAATTATTTAAGAAAGTCTAGCACGAGCTACTTGAGGTTTGATGACGAATCCCCACACATTATTTTACTTGATGTAAGCCAAAATTTTCAAAGTAATATAATTCCATACTTCCCTACATTTGTTTTCAGCGTTTTTAAATATCTTGTATACAGCAGTGAATACTATTCCACACTCGCCATTCCATTTTCGAAATTATTTTCATATTTTTATGATTACTTATTTTGTTGCCGATTTTTTGTGTTGTAGACGCTGGTTTCGGGTAATTGTGCGAGAACTTTATTTAAATTTTTGGAAAAGTCTTTGATTCCTTAACGGTGAAATCACGGAAGAAATTTGAGTTGAATTGATTTAAACCAATATGTTCAATTTTACGTGCTTATACAAAGTAAATATTATTTTATGAAGAATATATCAAATTGGATACTATACACATTTATTTGAACTTTAAAATCTCATATTATATTTCCCACACCAATTATTATTTACCGACTTCATCATGAAGTCAAGCGGACTTAAGCCTTATATTGGTCAAAATTCATGTCTTAGAAGACTGTGTTAATTGACAAGGTTTTCTCTGTGGTAGAGTGCCTACGCCAAATGTGATTATAATCCAGTATGAGTTAATGTACACAAAAAAATTTTTTTTATCAAAATATTATGTGCTTTGTTTTGAATTTATTACCAACTAAGGCGTAGTATCGCAATTTATATTGTATGAAATAGTGACTACCAATCGAATGTAGGATACACGTTCCTCTTAGTATAAAAACGGGAAACGATAATGAATAGGCTTTCGTGTATGCAATGTTAAGAGATGAAAATTGACAATTAAACTTACGCATCATGATCGATATCAAACACATCGAATACTTTTACTATCCTCGGATGGTGTAATGTCTTGTGAATTTCAATCTCTCTTAACGCATGCCTATAAAAAATATTTGATTATTTTCAGAAAAAGAAATTAGTTAACATCATATTACTCAAATAAAATTAAGTAACCACAGACTCTAAAATAGCTTGCGAATATTAAACGGCATAAAGAAAACCTATAGGAATAAGTAGATAAAAAAAACCTGCCTATTGATAAATAGATGCGTTTGGTGTTAACGTCAAACTTCATCACTTAAAAAATGGTATAAACAATGACAAATACTAGATATGAAACTAAAAGAACCCCTACGTCACTAACGACTGACTGACTTATTAGAATTAACAAAAACAATAAAAATATAACATCGATCAGTTCATGATTTCAAAGAAATTCAACAATCTCCACAACCCCATATGGACAAAAAGTGTTCTAGTTCAAGCAAAATAATATTAGGGGGGAGACAGAAATCTAAAATACGGAATACTTGGCCTGTTTTGACGATCGTTATATATATATATATATATATATATATATATATATATATATATATATATATATATATATATATATATATGAAGTTGGTCAAGTTTTGAGCCACAGTATGAGGAGTAACCGACGAAAGCAGAAAAACATTATGATGTAATTACTAGTAAAAATTGAAGCATTGTCTACAACTTGGAATACACCAAATTAATGTCTGACAACTGTTTTTCACAACTCTGCTAAAAACGATTGATTCAAAAATCAAAAAGTGGAAAATGTTCCGGAAAGGGAAAAACATGATATTTTGTTGAAATACTCGAGATTATTAGTTAATAGTGACCAGAATATTAAAATATTAAAATGTCCATGTTGACGATGTGAGAAATTCTGTTTACAATGCAATATTCCAGATACATAGATATACTGTTATACCATACTAAGCCTTTCGGTTAAATTTTTACATGAAAACGATTAACTAGAACTTAAAACGTTCTTGCATCACGATTTGTGCGTTGGATCTTTCACAATTATTCCTACCACAAACTATTTCGATGTCATGAGCAGTAATGAAAATGAAGAGTAAAAAGACCATCACCACTGAGAATCTTAGCACTAGTCAAGGAACTGGAGGTAGATCTAATGATTAACAAAATATTGTGAACGATGCAATGGGAAACCAGATAAACAACCTAACTAATACTGTTATGAAGGTATGAAATACTTTTTCCACTGACAAGAGTAGATCCATTTGATATGGCATAAACTGTCGTCAAATATCTATATGAACACCATTTCTAACGCATTTTTGGAATACATAAATCATAGTCATTATTAATTCACTTGGTATTGTTTTACTTGAATCTTCCCATTGTTGTTTAGGACTGCAATTGATCAGTCTCCGTTTGGCATGTGTGCATACTGTGCGTATTGCCGCGATATTGCCTTAATTTACAAGCATTATAAGCAAAGATGGATGGTGGCTAGCAGTGAAATCCAGGACGCGCGTTTCGTCCCATGTGGGACTCGTCAGATGGGTGTACCTGCATTTCAGAGTTGATGTTCACTCTGTAAAGTTCGCTTCAAATGCCATCACGTTATCCGCTTAGCTAATGAGTCCTGATAGTCATTATTGTTGAGAAACACGTTTGTGATTATCTGATTATTGCAGAAAATGAGTTCGAATTACTATTTTTTATTCGTATTCATCAGGAAATTCTTACTTAACTTTGAAATATGTGAATTTTTGAGTTCAATGATGCTTTGGTTCCAAAAAGAATAATGACTGATTTAATTCCCATAACACGTTATGTCAACTAGCTTGATCGATCTTTTAAAATGAATTTCAGCTGAACTGAATCAACTGTGTAATTAAATCAATTCTATAATTCATTATTTCAAATCTAAACAACAGAGTACCAAACGTTTCTACCGGATTTTTAAATTCCTTACAGGACTCATAAGCCTAGTAATAAATAATAGTCATAATATTGCCTATCTACTAAGCACCAATTCATGTGAACAACTTTGTGGTAGTTTAGGTGCGAAAGTAAACAATAATATTCATCTGTATAAACTGATATGGGCGGGGTGGAGTCGAGGTATTCAGTTCACTAGTTAAAACTTGAGTGCTTTATACATTAAGCAACCGTACTCTAATAGGATTGGGAAAATTACGGGGCAGTGTGTATATAAATATAACACACAACTCTTTCTAATGAACCCAGTGCACAAGAAGCCAACATAGATACACAGACACTATATATATATATATATATATATATATATATATATTCACTTACTTAATGTAGTTATCTTTTTTATCTTTAGGCCAAGAAGGATTAAGCTGATGAATTTTACAAGCGACATATCGATTAGCTACGAGATCGAAACCCTGAGCAAACAAAAAAAACGAGAATACAAAACATTTGAGGATATTTAAAGAAATATTATATGAAATAAATTGATAGGAACTATTTTATCATTATAATTAGTATGACACTGAAGCGCCCCACGTAACAAATAGTTATCAGCCGAATTTATTTCGGTGTGTGGTAGTATTAATTAAATGTTGCTACAATGCAATGGTGTGTATGGTTTACACCTTAATAATTAATAGTAACTTTACTAGTGCTTTCAGTGGATTGAAGAATAAGCATTGAGATGTAGCACATGTTTAATCCACTTACTTATAAAGTATAGGTTTAATGTACTTTATTGTGAATGGTATTGTACGTGATATTGCCAGTGAATGACGTTGGAGAAGCGGTTTTCGTCTCAAAATATTTATGATCAAAATTTGTTGAAAACGGAATTTTTGGATCGATATCTTTTCATAGTTACTAGACGGTCTTCAAGACTCAGTCAAACACTGGTACTGTAATTACCATTGGTTATGGTAATCAGTACACTTATACGAAATGTATCCATTTTGATTTATCTTGTAGTGGTTGGATAAAGGACCAAATTAGAACAAATTAAATACGGTGATCGAAAAAACAGTACCTAATAAATAATTTACTTACTATGTTTCAGTTATCTAGCTTGTAAGATGGACAAGTGGAGAACAAGTGAATTTATTAAGCTCATTACTTTTCATAGTCCACTGAATACTATTTTATATAAACACAGTGAGAATGGAAAACCGGTTGGATAGACATTATAAGGAAAGTAAGATCTAGAAACAAGTTGCTATAATTCACATCGGCAGAGGAGAATGAAAAACAACTAAATAGGCCACAATGCATCGAGATGACATTATAACGAGCTTTAACGACATACATGACGCGCATTTCGAAATTACGCATTATACGTTTCCTTCAGGATTGGATGCATAGTTTCAATTTTAAGACTTATACAAAGGGATAGCAAACTCAATCGGTATTATTCAACGTATAGACCAAGTTGTCATGTGACATTAGCATGACAAGATGAAGTAAACAAAACGAATGGCGGAGGAGTTGAATGCAGTGGCGATAGGAATTGAAATTACTATGCATTGAGATGGTTGGATTTTATTTATTTGAACAAATAAATATTGGTACAAAGGGGCACCAAATACATATGCGTAAAACAAGTCACATGATTTGTGTGTGGGCTATGATATTGTTCGGGTGCCCAGATCGAAGAAGGTGGTTTTCTTAGGGGGTCACATCCGGAGCCATTCGACCTAAAAGTCTGATCCATAAGGCTGTGGAGCAACATCAGAAAATGCAGTCCCATGGTAGCTGGTGGCCAACAATAGGTTCATACACCGTTTGCTCCTTCAGAATCCTGGAGCCCATGTGCACCATTGGTTTGAAACCAGGGTTTTCCAACTCTCTTAGGTGGACTCTCCGTGCTCACCAAGCCGGTGAAAGCACCGGACATTCGCTTTTCGTTCTTTCAATTTCGTAAATAACACCCCCGCCACGAGAAGGCAGTGAGTAGGACTTCCCTGACAGTGGCTGTATACGCGGGCCATGTGAGAGCATTTCGAGAGGAAGAGTTGATTCTCCCCACCCTCTGCCGTACCAGGGAATTTTGGGGCCCGGTTGGGGAAGACGGAGTGAAAACGTATATACAGGGGAATATTTGGAATCAAGATCTAACAGAGGATAGAGTGAATGCAACTATGATTGATTCGGAGTCACACCACCAAACATCAATGCTGAGGTTAGGTATGGAGTACTAGCCGGTTGATGAGGTTATAAATATTCATTGGCTCTAAATCTTGATTTCCACAATTCCTCCATAAATACCTTTTCACTCTGCCTTTTTGAACAATATTCCAAATGTTCAGTCTTTTTCACCATCATCATCCTTATCGGATTATTTAGATCCCTTTTGTTGTTTTTATGTCATCGTGTTAATGAGATGTAGCAAGTTGACAAATGCACATATGATGACTGACGCTCACTGTCTCCAACTACTGGTCGCGGTTATCATGCGGACCCTAACCAAGTAGTCTGCATCTAGCAACATGAATCATTTCGACGGCCAACGATTTCATAGAATCATACCATGGCTTAATTTGAAGACCTCTAGCGTTCTTCCAGCCTTTTCCTATTTCAGCCAGCATTATGGATCAAGTTGGGTGATGGCTAATCATAGGTAACAGACGGTCTTAGACACCTTAATTTTGTCTTCCACGACTGAATTGCCTGGGACGTACGTTACATATACTTAGCCACCACACTCGACATAATTCTGGCTGATGCAGGAGTATGTTAGAAAAAGGTGACCATGAACTAGAAGTAAATAATGTCCAGGTCTAGTTTTTTTATTGATTATATTAGGTTTGTGATGAAAACGGAATACTTTATTGAAGCAAGTAAAAGTGAAGTCTAAGAATGAACAACCAACCTTGTGAACTTCCGAGAATCCACCTTTACCCAGTAAATTAAGCAAAAGATATCGTTCATTCAGTAATGGATGATCCTTAAAACGAGATGCATCTTCATTAGAAATTCGTTTAATTTCTCGAATATGTAAATTTCTTTCTCGATCTAATCGCTCTAATTCCATTTGAATTTCTTTATCTTCTTTAACAAGCATTTGTTTACGTAAATCATAAATTTCTAATTGTTCATAGAATTCATCCACAGAGACTCTGGAGAGAAAGAAAACAGTAATAACAATTATTATCCAATTATTTTTTTATTTATAATTTTGAAATTCTCAATATACAAGATAGAGGATAAAAATTAGAGTATGACTACAGTACAAACTGATTGATTTATAAGCATGAAGAGGTACCAATTTTGGGGATCAAAGTTCAAAAATAGGAACACGCTTGAGTGGCAACTTAAACTATTCCATGGAAATGTTTACGAATGATTCACAACTTCATGTCGTATTTCCCATTTGGGAGAACCTTAAATGTCATTGGTCAGTTGTTTCTCTCAATATGTGATTTTGTAACGTTTCTTAAGGACATTTTTATGCTGTATATATACGCTTGAATTGTCCTTGTGGTTGTTGTTCGTACTTCTGGCTGTTTGTGGAATACATTCCCCTCTCAACCTGAACGTCTCTCTCTCTCTAGTTAGCGGGGTTGGGATGCATCGGAATAGTTAGCTTATTTGGTCATTGTGTCACTGAGTCCTCGTTCAGTTTGCAGATTAGGTGAAATCGTAGTCTCTCCAAACATAGAAACGGGAGAACAATTTCTGAAGATTATCGACTGATAGTTTGAAAATAAACCATGGACTGTAAGCATTCTGAATGGTGTTGGTTGGACAATAGAAATCGGTGATAGGAGAAACAAAGTAGGATTATTCGCCCATAATTGATTGCATTATTTTGGTGCATGTTTTCCTTTAAGCTTTTGCGAAACGTATATATCATAGTGTCTTATTGATTTTTCCTACTATTTGGAAATGTTTTTGACATCTAGTGCTTAAGATCTGGTGATATTAATACGGATCATCTTGAGTCAATAATTTTATATAGCATTATTTAACTTATCACTGAAATATCAAGGGTCACAATCACCGGAAGTCCATTTCCACCAGTTAAGACGCCTTTGATTAGGACAGTATAATTAGTATACATAAAACTTTACACAAGAAAAAATAAACTTACTCATCGTATTTAGATTTAGTACTCTTTTTAGCATCCCCAACATTTGGTTTACGCTTATTCCATTGTTTCTTTTTACGTTCAATCTCTTCACGAACAAGTTCAATATTCTTACGGCGTCTAAAGAAATAGGCAGGAAAATAGAAAAGTTTGAAATTAGCAGAATGACATTACTATTATTATGTGAGCCCATAAATGCCGAGGGTGGGGAGAATCAACTCTTCCTCTCGAAATGCTCTCACATGGCCCGCGTATACAGCCACTGTCAGGGAAGTCCTACTCACTGCCTTCTCGTGGCGGGGGTGTTATTTACGAAATTGAAAGAACGAAAAGCGAATGTCCGGTGCTTTCACCGGCTTGGTGAGCACGGAGAGTCCACCTAAGAGAGTTGGAAAACCCTGGTTCCAAACCAATGGTGCACATGGGCTCCAGGATTCTGAAGGAGCAAACGGTGTATGAACCTATTGTTGGCCACCAGCTACCATGGGACTGCATTTTCTGATGTTGCTCCACAGCCTTATGGATCAGACTTTTAGGTCGAATGGTTCCGGATGTGACCCCCTAAGAAAACCACCTTCTTCGGTCTGGACACCCGGGTAGTATCACATCCCTCACCCAAATCAACGATAACTGCTAATGGCCTCGTTGTGTGGCGCATATGTATTTGGTACTCCCTTGTACCAATGTTTATATGTTTAAATAAATAAGTAAAATGTTATCATTGTTATTATTATAAGCGTTACAAACCATACCAATTTTACAGTAAGTATTCTCAAGACGATAATTATCAAACAGATTTCGTGGTCAAAATTTATTCTTAAAACAAGAACAAAATAAATAAACGAGACAACTTATTTATATGTTAAATTTTTATGTACTCAAGTTTGAGTCACACTATTTGTGTATGAAGACCATTGATGCTAACATGGTTGCCTAATTCTAAGTAGGGACAGATGGGTTACCCTACCTAATTAAAGATAAAGCAAAAAATACTTTACTCGTCTATAGTCCGTACTTGTGCTTCACTTTCCAATGATTTTATGAGTTCTTAACAAAAGATTGGTCAGATATCTAGAAATTTCGTTGCAGTGAACTATGATAACAAGGAACAGCTAAACAACAAGGGAACTAGGCAAACATAAGTATTGACAACTAATTTCTGAATTTCATACATAATAGTAAGCAAAGGGAACTTACTGATCTAATTCTTTAAATCTTGAACCTTCGATCCATTTCTCTTCAAAATGAGCACCCTGTCTTTGGGTGATAAATTGACCTAACCGTAAACGGTTTTCCATAACTTTTTGACGTGTAGTCTTTCTTTCGAGTAAACTCTGAAAGCACGTTATACAATCAGAAATTCATTAGAATAAAGAAAATACATTAGTAAATAAATGACCAATGATAGCATTATTTGACGTAATACTGAGCAGTTTAATAATCAAATATTGTTATGCGCATTGCAGTCAAACAGAATATTTATGGACAAAATACTTAAATAACTTACTTTTTCAATCAGCAATTCACGTATCATTTCGCGGGAACGAATGGCATTATCTTGTAATTTTGTAATGGTCTCTCGTTGAACAACAGTTTCGTGTTCTAAGTCAGCTATTCGACGCTGAAGACTCTCAACTGCAGTTAGTGGAACAGATGAAGCAGGTCCACCAGTCGTAACTAAGGGAGGATTATTATGCAAAGTTGTGATGTTTGTGCATTGTGAACCTTCCACACATTCGGCAGTTGACGGTGGAGTGACAGTTTCATCTGTTTGCACCCCGACATGAGATCTGAAGTTGTTTGTGGGTGACCCAGAAATGGCTGGAACATTTGATGTCATGGGATTATTTGGACAGGATCCAGAGCTTAGATAGCCAACACTGGGCTGTCCAACTTGAGGATATGATGAATTAAGATTAGCAGGTAGCTGAAGGTTAGAATAAGTAGGCAATGGATTAGCATTGCAGGGTATTGTACAAGAAGTTGGATTCGCGTTTACGTTCGCAACCATACTTAACCCAACCATCGATACAGGATTGTCACCAGAGCTATCACTTAAACTTGCTGTACTGCTGGCACGGACAGGTGACAACTGGAAAGTAGCTGCATTATTTGCATACTGAACTCCTGTTACTGAAGTAATAATCATTTGATCGTTGCTTGCGCAGCTTGTAGTCACAGCTTCATTCAGCGACGGGATGTAATTATGGTTTACTCCAATCATTTGATTATCAAGAGAATGGGCACCTGTAGGGGACTAAAAAAGGGAAACGGTACACAATTAAAACAAAAGCTGTGAGGATAAACTCCTATTCCTACTCATTTTAATCCCTACTCACGAAAAAATTCTCCCATAGTTCCTAGTACGAAATAGCCCTAAATAAGATTATTGTTAACAGTATTAGTCTTCCATATGGTGCTCGTACATGAATGTATCCTAGTTACCTGTTAATTATGTGTAAATCTCATTAGTTATCGTTTCTACAGGATAGTTATCTTTGTAACATAACCAGATATTGTTTCATCCATTATCTGCAACCTACCAACCGCGTTATTAGTTTAGGCACCGAAACTACTGTATTACATGAAAACTAGCAGTCCGATTGGACCTACCACACCAAGGTAGGTAGAGTTGAACTTGGGATCGTTTGATTGATTAATAACAATGTATTTTTTACTGTCAGTGAATTTGATGGAGATTGCGGAGATTGTTGGGTTTTATTGAAATCACGAACCGATCTAAGTTAGACAACCATCGAGAACCTGGAAGCCCTGGATTGATTATTTGACAAATTGTCACATGAATGATTAACGAAGTTAATCTCAAAATTTGCAGATTCTCGAAGTTTGGCCTATCTAAACGTGGTAAGAAAAAAAGCGTTATTTGTTTTGTTTATGGACAGTAAGCTTGTTAGCGAAAGTTAACCATTTATTTTCTTGCTTCGGTTTGTATAGCCGGGTAGTATTCACTAGCTCTTACACAAAGTTTAACTTAAAGTCTAGCATACGAATATGTACTGAATTCGATCCAAGGATTTATTTACCTTGTGTCCCGACAGAGTAAACATACATGTATTATTTTGGCTATCAAATCCAGAGATTACAAAAATATTTCATTAGCGAGACCTGTTGAGGTATAATAATATCGGAAACATGGATATTTGAGTTGTTATATCACTTATTCTGAAATTATATCAGATGATTCGAGAATTTTTAGTAGAAACAACCCAAGAAAAGTATTTACGTGATAAATCTAGATGAAAATTGTTCATTTTATCATTGTTAGTAAGAGATGAAACAGAAAATTCCAAAACCTAGCTGATCCATTACTGCTACATATTATGTAGAGATCTGGACACAGTGAATATAAGATGTAGACTTACAGGACTCTGTAGACGAGGATTTTGTGTCGGACTGGTTGAACCACAGGATGAATATAATGGCCCAGGCATGAACTGAATGAGAAAAGATGAGTGAAGATAAGCTATGATTAAACTCTTGAATTCTCGAGATATATATTTAAGAAAAATGGATTCTAGTGGGACAATTATAACATACAACATTTAGACCAGAACAACAGCCTACAATAACAAAATCAGTGAATCGAGCGACAGATACGATGCACACATTATGGGGTCAAAATCTTTGACATGTTATCTATCCATTGATTAAAACAAATTCGATCCAGGACTTCCAATGAACCTATAAAATTACCTGGTAGATATTGATGTTAATTCACCTGCAAGTTCCTTAATCTACAATTTTTAGGGTTCTTCTAATGACCTAATTTTTACAAAACTGATTAGATGACAGTCTAGACAGTGAATGGCATATTTTAGGAGGGGGGAAATGCACAACTCACTTTAAAGATTTCATCGATACGCTTTGAACCACGTTCTTGGCAAACCATTTTCTTAGGTTTCGGTGTATGACCTTCATCAGAACTCAATAATTTTCGCCGTTTCTTTGTGCCATTTCGGGATGGCAACGAATCACCTTGTCCACTAGGAGTTGGAGTATGTGGCCCTATCGAAGGAGATAAGTGGTGTGTAGGATTGTTTGTTTCGATAAATGCTGCAGATGGTTGGACAGAAATCTGGAATGTGGGGTATGGAACATTTTTTTCCTCTACAAATGTATAGGGTTGTTTCACAGGACTGTTGCCCGCAACAGTGGTTGGGGTGTGAATAGAGTTCGACCTTGAAACATACTGTAGGCCTTGGGGCGAACCAAGAGGATTTGCTGGGATACCAGGAGCCAAAGCTTCGATCAACTTATCGTCCGATTTAACGAGGGAAGTAAGAAGACCGTCATTTGATGTGTTGTCAGACTCTCCTACAGAACTTGAAGGGATTCTCTTTTTTTTTGGAGTCGTAGGTGAAGTCACATAATCTTCTTGTGTCTGAACGTAGATCTGAGAGTTGTGAACATTAAGACCCGGACTAGTGATCTCCAGTCGATTAGTGTTATGGCAATTCGGGTTATGCAACTTTTTGCCTGGATCTGGTGCACTCGGAATTCTTTCATTTATTTCAACTGATATTGAAGGAACTACTGTGGAAACCGGTTTAATCTCACTGCTACTGGTACTTAGGTCATGTTCACCGACTGAACTGAATGGACTGGATGAACCACGTAAAACTGAGTGTTCTGGAGTGCCGGAAGGTTCTTCTGTTATTGGAAACATATATCCAGAAGCATACGAATTAGACTTTGTGGAGCGAGGCGCATTATTGGTTGACCTTATATGGTTAGTTCCCTGAATTCTAGCTTCCAGAAGTTCGTGTTTACGTGGATCTACATGAAGAGGCATAGCAAAGGTACCTTAAAGTGAAAAATAAAACGAAAATGCTTCGGTTAGTCTACATAAGTAGGACAAGGTTCAGAAAAATAAATATATCCATTACGGTAAAGAAAAGCTCATTTTTAACCAACATCTATAATATCCTTTTCCCAGATAAAGAAATAGTAAAAATGCCATTGTAAGAAACAAAATTAAGCTATTGAGGTATGTAGTTTGGTAAATTGTTATTAATCGCTTTAATCAATATTACATTTTCGGTAAAATATGGGGTTCATACTACTTTATCTGGGTTTTCAACATTGCTGATGAGCATAGCAAATAAAACGAGTGGATTAATAACAGTGATTTCATTTTTGCCTACCTGAAGTACCAAATGCCAGTGGAATTAATCCAGAACATACCTACTAGATTAAGAATATATAGGCATTAGATTCAGTAGCCTTTCATCAGATGAATTACTTATTACTCAGAAAGGATCTTGATATTTTGAGGGAACAAGGACCGAACTTTATACCACATGGGCTTGAAAATACTAATGTATTAAGCAATCGTAAAGTAATTAATATCATTTATTTACCAAGTGCAAATTTGTATAAGCAGCTTTGGGTCATACTTTATAAAGCTCGTGATACCGCCCGGTTTCCCAAACTGTAGTAGGTAGGGTAGGGTTCAAGGCTGATTAGAAACGTTACTTCAGTAAGGGAGTGAGAGAAATTACATTCCAAATCCAACTATCTTCGAAAACAATGGCAATACTAGTACGATCTGGTTGATTGGATTAGACCCCTTAACTTTGCAAAGCATGAACTTGGTTTAAGTCATTTTTAATACTAAGGTAAACTACTTTGAGAAGTTCGAAGGGAAACGACAAGATCCTGAGCAAGTATGCAAAAATGGAGTTCACAAATACCCTAATAGATTTTTCCTCGAAGGAAACACTTTTTAGAAGCGATTTAGCAGAAAATTTCACCGTATTAAACTAGATCTACCGAGTGGTACTGTGAAATCCTAAACTATAACACTAAACTAACTACGCCTGAAGCCCCTTCAGGGTTACTGACAGTCCCATGTCAGGATAAAGGAAGTTGGAAGTAGGGTTAGAAACCCCATATCGTAAAAAGAACTTTGATGCAAAAAAGCTAACCACAGGAAACCAATTAAGCCGATTAGACCGCTCAGTATGTCACATCACGGAAATCAATGTGCATCACAAAGCAAGCTCTGACTTGTAATTAGGACAAAAGGAAAAGAGGCAGATCAAAGAAAACATCACCGAAAAGTGAGAGCGGTCATCAAAATAATGGGATGAACTTCAAAACTCCATGTAAAGTATGGTCTTCTCATTACACTGTTCTTCCTACTATTAATAAATGTGATTTTTTAGTTAACACTTTAGGAATTGTAGCTTCTATATATTTTAAAGCTATACAATATCAACTAGTCAGTGGCTCTTTACAGCCAGCTATATACTGAATTTTTTATAAATCTAGGTAATATTTAATCAGATTCAGACTAACGGTGTTAGAATCACTGGACAACTCAAGAAGTGGAGCTTCATCACAGTTAGGGTGTGACAAAAAACGATGACGTATGCAGCTTGAAACCTGTGTAAATTGATCAACGAGGTACTCGGTAATGAGACTTTTCAGGCTATTGTGGTCAATAGCATCCTGGAGGAAACTTTGATAAGAGTATATAGTGGTGGTGAGGATGCTAACCAGAGAAACAGTTTGATCTTGAGTATCTGGATGATATTGTCTAGCAGTGCGGTGATATTTGAGCCATGCAATCGATACTTAATCAATGTCCTAAATACGGAATTTACTTTGAACCTTTTAAATGCAAAGTGGCTTCATAGGACTGGCAAGAGCTTGTACCGGCACTTAGTTTTTTGCACCGACACCCGAACTAGTGATAGGGAGTGAAGTAGTTGAGCGTGTCGACCGCTTCACTTATCTCGGGAGTCTCATCAGCCCTTGTGGTCTGGTATGTGACGAAATCTCAGCACGGATACAGAAGGCTCGACTAGCTTTTGCCAACTTGCGTCATTTGTGGCGTAGGCGAGATATCCATCTAACAACCAAAGGACGGGTTTACTGCGCAGCAGTTCGTTCCGTCCTACTTTATGGCAGTGAAACATCGCCCGAAAGAGTAGAGGATATTCGTAGGTTACTAGTATTTGATCATAGATGTCTTCGAAACATTGTTCGTATATCCTGGGACCACCGAGTAAGTAATGCAGTTGTTAGGAAACGGGTACTAGGTAAGGATGACAAATCAATTGATGAAGTAGTGAAACCTAATCAGTTGAGATGGCTGGGACACGTGTTACGTGTGCCCGACCACCGACTGCCCCGACGTGCTATGTTTTATGGTGTAGCAGTGGGTTGGAAGAAAGCTAGGGGCGGCCAGACCAAAACATGGCACAAATCCGTGAAGTCACTGACAAGTGGACTGAGCCATGTTGGTAAGTGTAGATTACCTGGTTGGGGTCCGCGAGATGATAGCAACCGATGGTTAGAGACCTTGAATGACATGGCTCAAAATCGTTTGCAATGGCGCAGGTGCATCCACTCTTTGTGTTCTCCCAAATTCTAATCTTCTGAATTCTTTATGTCCCTTATTTTCTCTTTCCAAGTTTATTACACTGTATTACACTCCTTAAATAACATCTTCAAACCCTAATCTTTCCGACTACTGCTTATACTCTTACCACCTCTACCACTATGGGATATGAATCGACAACTGCATCTCTGTGCTAATGAGGTATGGCAACTCGAACTGATCTACGTACGTACGAAGTTCCACGTTGTTACTGACTGACTGACATTCTTTGTGAGTTGTGAGAAACAATCTAAAGGTCAGCAAATCTGTGTGAGTACTGCTGGAAGTGTGACTGATGGGGTCAGTCTACGTATGGTGAAAACTAGAGCGATTTATGCTAATTCGAACTACATTTGGTACTTGTGATGTTAGTTTGGCTGTAGAAGGTTGGGTTTGCGATATGTTTGTAAGAACAGCACTGCTCTGTGTTTGCGAAACCTGGCCTCTACAAGTCGAGGATGTTAGGTGACCGCGTTTGGTTATCGCTATCTTTGAAGGACTGCTGATAACATTGTTAGCAATTCAAAGGTTCAGTAATATGTTCGGACAGTGATGATAATTCAATTGGTGTCGCCATCTTGTGGGTGTTTTCTTCAAATACAACTTATGAGAGAGGAAATCAATACCGATTAAGATGATTTTCCGTAACACCAAATAAGTCTGAAATCTGCTTAAGGTCTTTTAATACATTTTTACTATGATTTTTATTTGATGACAAATAGATAGTTCATAAATTCTAATCATTATAACTCATATATAATTAACTGATCCAAATGTGCTTTTCATTGATATACTAGTCATCATCAAAAAGCTTGTTACTAAAATGATCTTTTTACTCTAATTAAAGGCGAAGATAATAGTCGGACGCAACGTAAAACCTGGTACATATATACAATGGTTCAAGTTCCCATACCCCATTAGCACAGCAAGATGAAACTGTTAGGGCAATTCCCAGATTAGTAAAGGTAGTAACCGTAGTTTCATCCACAGAAATGAGAAATACTGTTGTAGTGCAGGAACTTATCAACCACTTCAGTTGTTTAGAGATTTTTAAATCACGCACATAAATTATTCATGCAATATTTGGCCCTGATTTTTCATATTTCAAACGTTGGGGTAGCTAAAATGAATCAACGATATCAAGTAGGGACTTAACATGTTGAGTACTTGTGACATCACGTATATTAACACGCATATGCGTGAAATCAAACAACTAATCGAGTACATACGGGAATGGAAAACCGTTTGTTTCCATTGACCAAATAGTTTTAAAGATAACTTGGTGATAGGACAAATCAAAATTAGGGAAACTAGGTTTTTTAACAATATAAATCCACTTTCTAAACGAGCGTATCTGGAGAAGTCAAGTGGTAATGATAAGCTAGAATGTAAACTAGGTAAAATTAAAACTGAGAGCACCACCATTTTAAAACCATGAAGCCTTTGACTTACATATCCATAGGAACAAAACAGTAACTAGATAATCGCATACACAACATCCACAGCCATCTGAAGATTCCGAGCGCAGAATTTTCGAAAACAGATAAACAAACAAGTAACAGCTGACTGGAACGATTTGGAGTCGTGGTGATCAAGTGCTGAGACTATTTGATGTCAGTAAATAATTAGGTTCATCGTAATAGTTCGAGCCAGATCATAGCCTTTATTTTTGTGTCAAAATAATGGCGCTTTTTAAAAATGCTGGTGAAACTCGATATCTGTATAAATGTTAATCTCACCATACTGGAGTGCAGTCAGCAAGACACAGAGTTTAGGAAGTTCCTTGCCAGTAGCGCTGACACCTCCTCTGGTAGTGTTCCAAGGCTTTTATTACAGGCCGAGGATCGAAAGTTGCTTTCCATGTTTACATGGATTTCGTATACATTTGACCGGCATGTGATGCTCGGTCTATATCATGTGAATCGTAACAGCCAACTTATAAACGTTGTTTTTGTGTATTTTGAGACTCCTATAGATCCCTATTCTAGATAGCTTGAGGCATAAGTTAAGCGAATCCCTAGTGCCAAGTTTCCAATGGTCCCGTATCTGACTCCAGTTAGATCATCCGGTGACCGATATCGAAATATACATGCGGCTAATATACTTTTATACGTATCGAATTAATTAACGTAGACAATAATAGGATGAAATGAGCTAAATACGGGTGTGAATCTTGAATATGTATATTTCATATGAACATTGGTCCAAACAGAAAATCCGAGAAAACTAAGTGACGCGGAGCGGAGAAGGCGAGTTAACCAACTCAATTTAATGAAGCATGCCCCGATATTTATGGTCAAACAAAAATAAGTTACGGACAAAAATGAATAGGGTACGTGATTAACACACATATACTCATATTAAAACCGTCAGGTCTAATAAGCGAATAAGTGAGGAGGTAAAAATATGACTTTAAAAGAATGAATAGATTGGTCTGTCCAGAAGCTATAATGACCGATGTGTACTTGACAGGGCAACAGTACAAACTATAACAATTAATGAAAAAACACGATAACAGAAAATAATTACAAAATGACTCAATTTTAACTATCTCCATAGCTTCTTCATAATAAATGAGAAGAATATTCGTTGCCTAAGAAGCTTCATGTTTGTCAGTAATGAGCTAGGTGACTCATTTTTCAGAGAGGGGTTTAAACACTTGGTTTAAGTACCTTCGGTTCCATAACTTACCTAGAGCTTCGCAGGATTTTTAGTTGAGGTGTTTGGCACATAACTTCTAGTGAATATTTAACTGTACCGAACCATTAGTAAAAATGAATGAATAAAGAACTTGAAAAATGTGCTGAGTATTTGTCACTTCAACAGAGTGATCCAGGACATTCACACAGGTACAAAAGTTTGTTTGAACCTCGCAAGTACATGATACTTCAAACTCAGTACATGAATTTAATTTTGTCAGATATACACTATCATCAAGGAAATAAAGAACAACTCAAAGATCCTTTATCTACGTGTGTGTGAAAATCTCTCTACTTATGAATTCCAAGAGGCTTTTGTTACATCCTTAACTCAAAGTTACTATTCCTAAATCTCTTATTTCTGTGTTTTATGTGTTACCCTGATTCAATATTAAATTATTATCATACATTTTTACAGACAGTTTTAGTTTGTATCCATTTCATTTGTATCTTATTGTAGTTCACTATTCTGACATGTTCTACTTATTCACATATATTTGGTAGGTTACACATGAACTCATCGTTTGACTGTTACCACTTAATCCGGTCGATTTCTCCCATCGTTTGTAATAGAATCGCACTACTTGTTTGTGAGAATCTGTAATGGTGGCATTAGTATCAGTTAAAACCAAAGTTTATCAAGATTCGGTACCAACTGGTCGTAGTGGTGTTGGTTCTCAAGGCTGAAAATAAAATAACTGAGAAATTTCACACTCGACATTTGGCATGGAGAGGAGGTCAGAGATGATGAACGCAGAAAAGATTATCCGGTATAATGTGGCTCAGTTTTGTAGGCATGGTCATTTTGTGTAACCTATACCTTTTCACAGTATATATACTATTTTATCCTCTGATAAATGTGTTCTACAAAAGTGCTAGACGTCCTATTGGTGACTGTCACGCTATGACGAGTCAGTGTAGACTATGATGTGGCTTCTACGTAAGATTTTATAGATTGGGTAGTCAGGCCGTAACAAATGTTTGAAGGTAAATGTACTAATACCAAACTAGCCCATAATGTTACATATTCCACCCTTTTAATGCTTTATTACTGGTATTATTGTTTATTATCAGCCACTAGTTCCGATCACTAGTTCAGTGTATCAGAGAGGATTTTTGCCCCCTGTAGTTGCTATCACAATACGAACTATGTACTAAATACAAAATTTTTAACGTTACACTTACATAAATAACATGAACTCACATGAACCCAACAGCTTGGCTGAAATATAATCTCCTACTTATTTTTAGGGGATAAAGACTAGGAAGTTTTTTGACAGAAAATATTTTTTCATTCCCGTTCTTGAATCTGTTTGCTATGAACTTGTAGTGATATTACTCCTAACCACACAATCTTCAAAGGTGAACATGTGATAACTGGGAAAACAGATATTCGACACTTAAAACGGAGAGAAGGCCAACAATGGGGAAGGCAGGAACATCCAATCGGTGATGTTGCTCAGCCTGGCAGACGTGGTCATTTTGTATGGCTTTTCTTTATTGACACTAAATATATTATCATATCTTTAACCCAAATGTGTTCGTCAAAAGCACTAGATGTTATGTTGCCTAATCTTACTATATGGTGAGTCAGTGTAGAAGATAATGGGACTTCTACGCAAGCTCTCATAAATTAGGTAGTCACATGACGACAATTTTACAACTTTAGAATGAGGTCTATTAATAGGGTGGTACTAATAACGGACTAGATCAGAGTTCTACAAACATACTAGTTCTGTGTTTGAAGTAACTGCACTCTGTCCCTATAGTACCTTACTCGTAACCAGGTAAACAACAATGAACAAAAAGACAGAAATTTGATTTTAAATGTAGTACAATAAAGGTATGAATACTTATATAGAATAGTACATGTTATGTAAACATCTGATTAGTTTCACAATGGATATAGTCCAATTTTTACTTAACAAAGCTAGTGCAACTACGAGCTGAAAAGCAAAAGTCTCCTGGCCAACAAAAATCGACATTCTACACCAAGAGGACTTGGTACAGTCAAACCACAAGTCATCAGTAAAATTAATTCGCCTATGTATTAAGCATATTATTTTGTCGTTAAGACTGCATTCTTTTTTCGAAGGTTCCTAGGGAGAAGGAAATTTCAACCACCAGGTAAGGCTGCTTGGATGAAATAGGGAAGTTATTTTAACGTAAGATCTTATTGATTAGAGAGTCCAATCACGCCCGGCTAAATATATTAGAGTATGGTTATTGGTCTGGTGATATACATAAGTTCAATAGTAGTGGTCGCAGTACTGAATCTCACTGCCTCATTGATGCGTTAATATGGGAAACACTTAAACCCGATCATCCAGGAGCATGGATGCGTCGGTTATATGTTATATTCGAAAAGAGGACATGGAGACATTGCTACAGCTAATATAGTTGTCTAAGCCCGTCGTTGAGGAACATTAGTCGTTGTGATTACAGTTAATGATGGATTATCATTATTAGGAGTTGGTCGTGCCATAAATTGCCATATGCTTGGATTCATTGAAAACTAAAAACGTAGAAATAATAGTACTAGCTTAAATTGTTTGGTGAATTGGTTGATTATGTTGATTTCAACGGGGCTATGAATAATTACTTCATTTTATTTTTAAGTACATTGAAATGTAGTACCTCAGCAAGGAAAACGATAATTTTCGTAGCTGGAAATCATGTTACATAAATTTCGTGAGTGACGTGTTAGTGGAAGTTGAAAAAGTTACAGATTTAATTGCATCGTTATGTTACTAAACAGAAGCAACTATATAGACCGGTAGTGTGAGATAGCAGTAAATATTGGTCAGGTCTTTTTACCACATTGAACATGCCCCGCTTTAAAAGAACGGTCATCAGATATTTAAGGGCTGATAACTGTGGATGAGTAACAATGCCATTTGACTGTGGCCAGAATACGCAGCTAACCAATTGTGATGAGTCGAAAATGTCGTTTTTCTATTAAGCCATCTTCAAACAGTGTCGATTAGTATTATTTTACCTTGGTTTATATTAGAGGAATGAAAAACCTGGGTTAAAAGGTTGAGTCTCTCAGGATAGTAAGTCATCAAATGTTGCCTGAGTAAAGCGGATGCGCTGATCCGGTCAACTATAGTGGGTTTAAACTAGAACTTGAGCAGTGATAAAAATCTCTCCATATTAATTACTCTTTGGTTTAGCCTACTATTTATAGTAACACCAAATCGAAAGCTTTAGTTTGTTTCAGTCTTTCAATTATAGTGTGGTATTATGTAAAGTCAAGAATTATCCCTTACTGATGCTATTTTGATTTTGACGTTTGATGCCCCATTCGTAGAGCAGTCATTGGTTTTCACAAGGACTCTGTCAGTAAGTGGGAGTTAGTGTGAACATAACTGTTTGATATACTTATTATAAAGTTGTGACTACATAATCTAACTCGGAATTTTACACTAGAAATGTGTGGATGAAAAAGATACTGAACAAATAAGACAATGAAAGGCATAGTTGTTGGTTTTCTTAACACTACTCTCTTGATGCACTTTCCTTTCTAATAAACAGCCTTCTTTATTCTAACTTTGACTTCCGTCCCATCATTTGAACCTACTCCACCTTGTTAAATATTATAAATCATTGTTCTATCTGTTCCACAACAAAATGTTAAGTATTGTTCACCGTTCATACACAAGTGCCTTGCTGCTCCTCTCTTTCTCATTTTTCAGAATCTTGCACTAAGGACACAGCTACAGAACTTCTGACCTCTGGGACAAACGCGATGCACGTGTTTTCTCAAGGTCATAGTTCACACCAAGTGCTCTACAGATCTACTTTTTAACAACTATTAACTTAATAAGTTGTA